GGCCAGCCGCGCGCGTTGCGCAACCAATGGCGCGTCGGGGATGCCCGCCGTGGCGGCCTGCGCTGCGCCTGCGTTCGACGGCGGAAACACGTATGCCACGTCCGCCGCGTCCTCCGCCGCGGTCCGTGGGAAACCCGAGAGGGGGGGCCCGCGCGGGCCCCGGAAGTCGCCCCCCGCTGGGGACCCCGGGAGCCCTGCCCCAAAGAGGCCCCCGAGAAACCACGAGAAACCCCAGAAGCCCACCCCAAAAACCTTTGGAACCTGGAGGAAACACCACAAGGCCGCACCCTAGGCCACACGGGGAGGGGAGGGGGACAAATCTGCAACAACAGCAACAACAACAACACCACCACCAACAACAACAACAACACCAACACCAACACCACCACCACCACCACCAACAACAACAACAACAACAACTCTCCGGCCGCAAGACGCGATACCGTAAGCAACGCGCACGAAATCGGAAGCCGCACGTGTTCTCTTGTGTGGGTCGACGGAAATGAAGCAGCCTCTTGAATCTCTTCAATTTGCCCCGCGGCCCTGCTTGACCCTGACGGAGTCATCGGATTTTTTCTGGCTGCATTGCCGCAGCGGGCGCTAGCTTCAAGCTGAACCGGCGCGCTCGCGGCGAGACATGGCGAGCAAATTGCCAGCGTGACGGCCAAGCGGGCGGAAAAAAACCACTGCGCTACTCAGCGCCACTCCGCGCCAGTCAGCACCGCTCTGCACCACTCAGCGCCGCTCGACGCCACCCAGCGCTACTCCTGGGAGCCACTCGACGCCACCCAGCGCCACTCGGCACCATTCAACGCCACTTGGCGCCACTCAACGCCACTCGGCGCCACTCAGCGCCACTTGGCGCCACTCAGCGCTACTCGGCGCCACTCTGCGCCACCCGACGCCGCTCAGCGCCGCCGACGAGGACGGGGGGGATGAGGGGCAGGAGGAGGACAAGGAGGGGGAGGACGCCCCTGACGGTATAGAGCGTGGATGGGGAGAGGGGGGTCGCACGGGCCGCGCCTAACGGGGTAGAGTAGAACGTGGGGGGTAGAGGGGGAAAGAGGCGGAGGTGGAGGCAAACGCAAGAGAAGGAGAAAAGCTCGAGGAAAAGCCTTCATGAAAAAACGTTACTCCGAGAAAGCAGGGCGCGCAACAAACATCAGTGAAATGCGAGCCATTTCCCGTGGGATCTGCTTTCCTTTATACATGAAAAGCGTGTTTTTCAGTGAACTTCGATAGGAGCCCATCCCTGTGGACTCCTTCCTCCCCTCGCCCTCGTTGGCATGTCCTTCTCCTCGGGGCCTTCCTCTCCCCGCCGTCGCTGGGGCCGCCCCTCGCGGGGTAGAGCGTGGTGGGGAGAGGGGGGTAAGAGGCGGAGGAGGAAGCATAAACAAGAGAAGGAGAAAAGCTCGAGGAGAAACCTTAATGAAAAAACGTTACTCCGAGAAAGCAGGGCGCGCAACCAACATCCGTGAAATGCGAGCCATTTCCCGTGGGATTTGCTTTCCTTTATAAATGAAAAGCGTGCTTTTTCAGTAAACTTCGATAGAAACCCATCCCTGTGGACTCCTTCCCCCCCTCGCCCTCATTGGTATTTCCTTCTCCTCGGGGCCCTCCTCGGCATTTCCTTCTCCTCGGGGCCTCCTCGGGGAAGAGGCGGAGGAGGAAGCAAAAGCAAGACAAAGGGAAGAGCTCAAGGAGAAACCTGTGTAGAACATATCACCCCGAGAGAGCAGGGGCGCTCAGCAAACGTCCGTAGAATGCGAGCCATTTCCCGTGGGATCTGCTTTCCCTTATACAAAAGATCTGCGCTGGCCAGTAAACTCCGATAGAAACCCATCCCTGTGGCGTGGAGAGGAAGAGAAATGCGAGGGGGCCCGAACGCCCAAAATGTGGAACAACCTGCTGCGACACGTGCAAAACATCAGATCCCACGGGAAGTCCCCCAGAAACAAAGCGGGTGCGTCGCCGTCCTTCCTCCCCTCGCCCTCCTTGGCGTTTCCTCCTCCTCGGGCCCCCCCCTCTCCCCGCTATCGCCGGGGCCGCCCCTCGCGGGGTAGGGCGTGGGTGGGGGTGGGGGGGGGGGGGGCGAGGTAGAGGGGGGGGCAAGCGCGTGAGAAAGGGGGGGGGCTCAAGGGAAAACCTGAATAGAAATTATCACCCCGAGAGAGCAGGGGCGCTCAGCAAACTCTGTAAAATGCGAGCCATTTCCCGTGGGATTTGCTTTCCTGTACACCACGAGCGCGCATTTCAATCAACTCCGATAGAAACCCATCCCTCTGGCATGGAGAAGAAGAGGAATGCGAGGGGACCCGAACGCCCAAAATATTGAACAACTTGCTGCGACACGTGCAAAACATCAGATCCCACGGAAAGTCCCCTAGAAACAAAGCGGGTGCGTCGATTTCGCTCTCCCCATCATCGCCCTCCTCAGCGTTCCCTTCTCCTCGGGGCCTTCCCTCTCCCCGCTGCCGCCAGGGCCGCCCCTCCCGTCTCCACTCGCCCTCCCCCTCTTCGCCACTTCGTTTTTTGGGGGTTCTGCCTCTCCTGAGCGGTCCAATCACAAATGCCGCGCGCGGCCGTGGCCGCGGCGGCGGCGCCGCGCGCGGCCTCCGCGATAACGGACGCGCGCAACAAAGATGCAACGGGGAACGCGCAGCACGAACACAATAATGACAGCGTTGCTCAATCAGGGAAGCGCCTTGGCAACCGACAGCAACGCCGCGATGTGAAGGTCTGCAGCGCGGGGTAGCCTATCCCCCTCCACACCTCCGGGCGCCTTGCCGAACAGTGCAGCCCTCGGCCAAGGCCGCGGGCGCCAACCGAAAAAGGCAGGACAAAAACAAGTCGCGCCCCGCGGCGCGTCAGCACGAGCCGAGCGGGTCAAAAAGAGGCGCCAGGTGCGACAAGCCCTGATCGGATTCGTTCACGGCCCGAGCCAGCATGGCGATCGTCGCCAGACGCTGGCCGAGCAGGGGGCCCCGCTCTGCCATCGTCGGCAGGTTGTCCTTGTTGAAGTGCGTGTAGTTGTAGCGCAAGAACATAACCATGCTAAGGGCCCTGAACCACCGGAGCGAGTCGCCCCGCGCGGCTGCAGGCATCATGTCCTCCAAGCAGGACCACAACCGCTCCACTGGGACCGTGCCAGACTGGACGGGGATGCCCGCCTGCCGCGTGGCGAGCGCGACATCCCGCCAATTCATCAGGCCCTCCACCTTGACGCGGCGGCGCATCCTGCGGAAGTGGTCGCGCACCTTCCGCGTGATGACGCTGCGCGCGCCCTTGACGTGGGCGGCCTGCCGCCGGTCCCGCACGATGCCGGTGCGCCACCGTCGCTGTCGGCGCCCCGGTCGGTACCAGTGCTGCACGCGCCGCAGCTCGGCCCTGAACGCCTTGTCGGCGCGGTAGTTGCAATGCGAGGCGGAGCTGTCCAGCTGGGCACCGCAGAGGCGGGCGATCCGGGCCAGCGCGCCCCTGGGCGGCTGAGAACCGAAGACGCGTTTCCAGGTGCCTGCCCTGGCGCAGCGCGGCTGGGCCAGGAAAGTCCGCACGCGCTCCATGTTGTCAGGGTCGAGCGCCGCCTCCCGCCGGAACGTCGGGGGGAGTTGGCTCACGGACCTCTCGAGCAGGGCCTCCGCCTCGTGCTCGAGGTCCTCAGGCTGGCCCGCGCCGTCGCCCTTCGGTGGGGGACTCGCCGCCGACAACCGGGTGATGGCGTCCTTGTAGTCCGCCAGGAACACCTTGGTGTCGAAAGCGCTCGCTGTGACGAGCCTCCTGACCTCGAAGACGCAGTGCATAGGCTCTCCGGTGACGACGACGCCGGGGCCGTGCGAGGCCGCCAGGGAGCACGCCCGAGCCTGCCCCTTGGGCGTGTCGGCGTGCACTTGGAAGCGCATGGGCGGGAATTTACTGTGGTACAGCGACCTCAGCAGCTTTCGGTGCTTCCCGTACACGTCCGTGGAGTGGCTAGCGGGCGCTACCGCCTGCGGCGGCAGCCCTGCGCTGGAGCGGTTGGCCGCCATCAAGTCGAGCAGCTCTCCCAAGTCTGCCTTATAGATCGCCCGAGGGAAGGCTACCCCAGGCCTAACCCCTAAGTCTACCCCTCGGGCCTAGCCCTAAGGCTACTCTAAGCTTGCTCGTAGGGCCTGCCCCTCTGCGCTACCCTAGGCCCACCCCTACGGCCTACCCTTGGGGCTGCCCGAGGCCTTCCCCTCAGGCCTACCCCTAAGGCCACCCAGGGCCTACTCGCATGGTTACCCTAGGCCTACCCCTAGGGGTGGGCTCCCCAGGGTTACCCTGGGGCTACCCCTAGGGCTACCTACCCCTAGGGGCTACCCTAGGGCAACTCTAAAGACTACCTTTGGGCGAACCGCAGGGCTACCCTTTGGCTACCGTAGGGTTACCCTAAAGCCATAGGTAAACCCTACCCTCGGCAAGCCTAGCCTTCAGTAAGCCCTGGCCCTGGCCCCTCAGTCCTCACTGCTCGTATTCCTCCTCCCCCTCATCTTTGATGATATTCCTCATCACTCCTCATTCCACCTCACTCCTCATGCCACGGTCATCATCCAGAGCGGTGGATGTATTGAGAGACCCTCGCGGGCAGGAATACAATATGCTGTGCTATCATATGGTATGATGTGGAGACCTGTGGCATCATAGGATACACTTTCCTACACGATTCGATGTCCATCGATTCGGGACCTCCTCCTCCTCCTCCTCCTCCGATTTCTCATCCTGGTATTCCTTGTCCTCTGGCCCCTCAGTCCTCACTCCTCGTATTCCTCCTCCCCCTGATCTTTGATAATATTCCTCATCACTCCTCATTCCACCTCACTCCTCATGCCACGGTCATCATCCAGAACGGTGGATGTATTGAGAGACCCTCGCTATCACATGGTATGGTGTACTATCACATTGTATGATGTAGAGACCTGTGGCATCATAGGGTGTACTTTCCTACACGATTCGATTTCCATCGATTCGGGACCTCCTCCTCCTCCTCTTCCTCGTTATCCTCCTCCCTCCCGTCTTCCCCATCACCATCGTCGTCATCGTCGTCATCGTCGTCGTCATCGTCGTCGTCATCATCCTCCTCATCATCCTCATCGCTCCTCCTCCTCCTCATCATCATCATCCTTCTCCTTCTCCTCTTCCTCCTCCTCATCCTCCTCCTCATTCTCCTTTTCCTTCTGATCATCCTCCTCATCATCCTTATTTTCTTCCAAATCCTCCTCCTCCTGTCTCTCCTCCTCCTCCTCCTACTCCTCTTCTTCCTCCTCCTCCTCCTTCTCCTTCTCTTCGTCATGATGCTCATCCTCCATGCTGCTCATCCTCCCGCTTCTCCTGCCCCCTCCTCCTCCTCCTCCTCCTCCTCCCCGACCTCCTGATGCTCCTCCTCTTACCCCTCCTCCTCTCAGCGCCACTCAGCGCCACTCAGCGCCACCCAGCACCGTTTCGCGCTTCGCGCCACCAATGCGCCACTCCACCAGTCAGCGCCACTCAGCGCCACTCAGCGCCACTCTGCGCCACTCTGCGCCATTCAACGGCCGAGTGGCGCTGACTGGCGTAGAGTGGCGCTGACTGGCGCTGAGTGGTTGAGTGGCGCTGAGTGGCGCTGAGTGGCGCGGTGGTTTTTTGCACGACGCCGGCCGTCACAATGCAATTTGCCCTACTATTCCCTTGATGGGGATCTTCATGTTAACAGGCAAGGATTCTGGATGGTCTTCTGCATATCCGTATAGTGGTCCCAAGTTGAACCTCGGGGCAGATGTACCTGACGCCGTGGCTATTTAAGGAATGTCCCGCTGAGCGGGCATGCGAAAGCACTGGGATGTGTAGCGCTGGCCGTCCCAAAGGGGGGAGCGGCCGGCCGCGCGCGCTGTTTTCCCCGACTGCCGCGCAAATGGCAGCAACAAATCACGCTCATTTCAATCCGTCATTGTCGGCGACGCCACGTCTATGTTGAGCGCGGGCGGCGGCGGCAGCGAAAGAAACGAGGGGGCCCATGGGGGCCCTTGGATAATGACTCCCCACGCGGTTTCGCCCCGGGTGTTGTCAGTCTTGGAGCGCTTTCAATTTGGAGAGATGGTCCGTAGACTGATAGCCTCCCGTGGCTGCTTGGCGGCGGGTACTCTTGGCTCGATAGCGACGACGTCGTGGGGGCCAGGGTTTCCTGGACCCCAATGGTGTCGGCGCTCTGTTCCGTACGCGCCTTGTGGCCAAAGTCTGGCATCGGGGCAATCGTCGTGGCCATCTGTTCACGCAGCTCGTGCCAAGAAACTTCGGTGACGCAATCATCGAAGGCCGCTGGCCGGGCATCTCCTGTTTCCGCACTGGCAGCTGCCGGCAACGGTCGTCCAGGATCACAACCACTGGAACGGTCGCTCAAATGATGCTCGTTCGCAGCGTCTTGAACCGGGCGAGGTGTCGACTTGACTGACACCTCTCCGTCAAAGAAGATGGTGATACCGTCGTCGGGGGAGTCGGAATTGATCGCGTAGGCTTTGTTGACGGATGATGGTAGCGGGGCCCTGGGTGGGGCACTGTTGCCGTGCCATTCCTCGTCTGCCTCCGCGTTGGCGGCGGTTGCTCGCTGGGTGTCCCTACGGCCGCCGCATCGGACCGATGGCGATGCTTTTCTTTGCGCTGGGTCCGTTTTGCAAAGATTATGGAGGATCCGAGCCGGACCCGCTGACGCAGTCAGCGGGGACCGTCTCGATGATTTGTTGTTCGATTCCCTTTGAACCATGGTGAAAATCGCGGGGGTTCGGCCCAGACTTGTTGGTCTCCATAATGTCGTCTTTCAAACGGGCTAATTCTGGTTCTCTTCCTTTTGGTACAGCCATCCCCGAAACAAGGGACGCAGCCACGTGATTTCGTGGTGAACATAACCATCAATTTGCCGAGTATTCCCTTGACGGGGATCTTCATGGTACCTGGTAAATGTTCTGGATCGTATCTGGATCTCCTAGTAGCGGTCGCAAATTGAACCTCGGAGAAGATGTGCCTTACGCCATGGCTAAGTAAGGGCTGTTCCGTTAAGCGGGTACGCGAAAGCACTAGGATGTGTAGTACCTACCGGCCGAAAAGGGGGGAGAGGCCAGTCGCTCGCGCTGTTTTTCCCGAGTGCTACGGAAACGTCTGCAGCAAATCACAATTATCTAAATCCGTCGGTATCGGCGACGCCACGTCTATTTTGAGCGTGGGCGGCGTCGGCGGCAGCGAAAAGAAGCGAGGGGAGCGTCGGATAATGACCTGGCGCGTGGACAAAGCCACTGGGTTTTCTGGGAGGCTTTCCAATTTTATCTTCGGCGGCGAGGCAGAACTGCTCCACCAGCGGTCGGCGGAAGCTGTTCAACAAACCAATAGCTTTGCTTCATCGTTGCCCTGTCTTCGAGTGGTACACTATAGTGGTGCACCGAAATCTGAGGCGCCCCAAAGTCATATCACTTCAAGCACTCCTCCTCCTCCTCCTCCTCCTCGTCGTCCTCGTCCTCGTCCTCACTCCACCCCGCGCGCGTTCGAGAGCGCCCGCGCGTGCGGAGGGAGAGGACCGAGAAGGTGGGAAGGAGGAAGCAGGGGAAAACGGGAGGAGGGAACGAGCGAGCGGGGACGGGGGCGAGAAAGGAGGAGGTCGACGACGACGAGGATTTTCCAGTTCTCGTGCTCTTGTCCTCCTTCTCCTCCTCCGCGTCCTCTGACGTTCGTTTGCATTCCTTGGCATGTAATGTTTGCAGCCTCCCAAGTCAAAGCAAGACAGTGTAAAGGAGAAGAGGAAGGGTATCAAAGGACGAGACCTCCAGGCTGCGCTCAACACCACGAATGGGATGCAGCACCCTTCCCGGAAGGGATGCTCCTTGCCCTCGTCACCGCTTTATCTCGGAGAACTCCGCAAGCCCGAAAAATACAAACACCGTTCAAAACCCTCGGGAATATCGACCTACAGTCGGGCTGCTGAAATAAGGAACGCTAGAGAAGGAGCGAAAACACTTTTTGGCCCCAGAAGCACCATCGTGGATGAGGAACGGTCGAGAAATTGCCATGGGAGGACCTGGGGAACATCGAGCCCCTTCTGAATCCAACCTGTTCCTTCTTTCAACTTCTTGGCTGTGACTCCTCCTGCTCCTCGTCCTCTGCTCCCTCCTCTCGGAATGAGGCATAGGCGTCCTCAAGGACATGCGTCCGGGGCCCGTGGGCTTTCCCTGGGACCGGCTTTGCTTCCCGAGTCGTCTTCTGACGGTCCTGGGACCCGGGGGCGTCCCGAGGGGGCGAAGACCTTAGACACAAAATTAGAGCCCATTTCCCTCATAATAGAAGAAGAAAAACGGTCATGAACATAAACACTTGGTGCTCCGCGAAGAATTCTTGGATTTGTGCTGGATCCCGCGCGGGAGGCGCTGCCGGGGGGCCCAGCGTGGATCCAAGAAATCCGCGCGGAGCGCCAAAAGTTTATGCTTATTCTCCAAATAGGCTTGCCATATAGGAGTCCTAAGCCATCATACGTAGTTGGTCTTGAGCCCCCCCCCTTTTTCCAATGGCCCCCGCCCCTTATTTCCAATGGCCCCCCCTTATTTTCCAATGGCGCCCCCCCCTGGATGCTTGCTTGCTTGCTCTTGCTTGCTTGCTCTCTCTCGCTTGCTTGCGCTTGCTTGCTTGTACTTGATCGCTGGCTCTTGCTTGCTTGCTTGTTATTGCTCGCTTGCGCTTGCTCGCTTCCGCTTGCTTGATTTTGCTCCTCCCGTCCTCCTCCCGTCCTGCTCCCGTCCTCCTTTGGTCCTCCTCCCATCCTCCTCTCGTCCTCCTCCTGTCCTCCTATCTATTTGGGGTCAACGCTGGCTGATATGCTCCTTTTCGACATACCACATTCTCTAGGGGGGGGTCCACTGATCAGTTCACCAATCCTGGCCAGGCCAATCTTGGAACCAGAATCCGTGCATGCGCACTCCTGGCTTGGCCATGAAGCAACGTATACACCGATCCTGGGCCCCGGACCTGTGGCCAGGACCGGTGAGGTGGTCGTTTGGAATCCAACTGCTCTATTTATGGCGATCCTCCTCCTCCTCCTCCTCCTCCTCCTCCTCCTCCTCCTCCTCCTCTCCTCCTCCTCCTACTCCTCCTCCTCCTCCCTCCTCCTCCTCCTCCTCCTCCTCCTCCTCCTCCTCCGCCTCCTCGTTCTCCTCCTCCTCTCGCTCGTCCTCCTCGTCGCTGCTCCTCCTCCTCCTCCTCCTCCCTCCTCCTCCTCGTCCTCGTCCTCCTCCTCCTCCTCGTTCTCCTCCTCCTCTCGCTCGTCCTCCCTCGCTGCTCCTCCTCCTCCTCCTCTCCTCCTCGTTCTCCTCCTACTCTCGCTCGTCCTCCTCCTCGCTGCTCCTCCTCGCTACTCCTCCTCCTCCTCCTCCTCCTCCTCCTCCTCCTCCTCATCTGCCCTCCTCCTCCTCCTCTTCCTCCTCCTCCTCCTTCTCCCCCTCTCCTCCTCCTGCTCCTCCTCCTCCTCTCCTCCTCCCCCCTTCTCCTCCTCCTCCTCTTTCTCCCCTCCTCCTCCTCCTCCCTCCTCCTCCTCCTGCTCCTCCCCCTCCCCTCCTTCTCCTCCTCCTCGTCCTCCTCCTCCTCCTCCCCCTCCTCCTCCTCCTCCTCCTCCTCCTCCTCCTCCTCCTCCTCCTCCTCCACCACCGGGAGGGCGGGGCACCAGCCGATCCCCCCGCCGCACAGCACGACGAGGTCCACCAGTATCGCGATGGCGGCCCTGGAGCCCCCGTGACGCCGGCCCGTCGTTGTCGCCGTCGCCGACGGTGTCGTCGTCGTCGTCGTCGTCGACGTCGTCGTCGTCGACGTCGTCGTCGTAATCGACGTCGCCACCGTCGTCGGCGTCGACGGGACCTTCGTGCTCCCTCCTGTTCCTACTCTACTCCTCCCCCTCATCACTCCTCCTCTTCGTCCTCCATCTCCTCCTCCTTGACCTTTTTCTCCTTCTGGTCTATCTTCTCCTCCTCATCCTCTATCCTCCTCTTCCTCTCTCTCCTCCTCCTTCTCCTCCTCCTCCTCCTCACCCTCCTCCACCTCCTCTTCATCTTCCTCGCGCTCCTCCTTCCTTCCGGGAAGGCTGCAACACCGCCCAGTGATGTGCACTTACAAAGGCCGGCAGGGTGGGCTTCAGCTGTGATGCACTTCGAAATACCTTCGGGCCAGCTCACTCGAGCCGGCTTTCCGCTCGCACAGGTGCATCCATCGCGGGTCACGTCTGCGTCGTATTTTGCGCTGCCCGTCGGTCTTGTCTCCACTCCCTGCTTCTGCTGTTGTTGCTTCCACGGCCTGTTGAAAGGAGCTTGAACTCCTGGAAATCTGGCTTTGTACGCCGCCAGGATTGGATGCGTCGGCCACCGCCACCGTCGCTGTCGCCGTCACCCCAGCCGTTGGCCCTGACGACGGGGTGACGGCGGGAGTGGCAGTGCCGTAACGCGCCACGAATTCAGAAAGGCATGAGGGTGCAAGCCCGATTTGTCTAGCCACCGCTCTGGGCGGGAGCTTGTCCTTAGGCGAGACTGCAGCACCGCTCAATGATGCGCTGTGCATCAAGCCTGCAGGTTGGGCCCTTCCTTTCTGTGCGCTTCAACTTGGCTTCTGCTTCGGCCGTTATGCACAACGAAACGCCGTAGGGCCACCTCAGCCGAGTAGGTTTTCTGCTCATATGGGTGTTCAGCCTCGAGGCCGCAGCAGGCGCTTGCGCAGGCCACACCGCTCGAAGGTTTGGCGGCGCTCCGAGCAGGGATGGCAGAGAAGGAAGCGCGTCAAGCATCTGGTTGGGCCACCGGTTATCAAACAACAATTTTAAACAACATATCAAACAACTTACAACATCACAACTCCATTCCTAACCCCTTCCCCCCTTCCTCCATCCACCTCCTCTTCCGCCTCCTCCTCCTCCTCCTCCTCAGACCTTTCGGGTGGAGACCCCTGGGAGGCCCACCACCGTCCTCCTCCTCCTCCTTCTCCTCCTCTTTCTCCACATCCTCCTACTCCCTCCGTTTTCTCCTCCCGCTCCTCCGCCCTTCGCCTCCTCATCCTCCATCATCCATCATCCATAACCTATTCTCCATCCTTCATCTTCCGCCGCAGCAGTCGCCGCCACCTGGGCCACCTCCTCCTCCTCCTCCTCATCATCACCATCAACATCAACATCAACATTAACATCATCACCACCACCATCACCATCACCATCACCATCACCGTCATCGTCATTGTCATAATCATCGTCATCATCACCATCACCATCACCATCACCATCATCACCATCATCATCAACATCATCATCATCTTCATTATCACCATCACCATCATCATCTTCAACCTCATCATCATCCCCATCCTCATCCTCATCGTCATCGTCATATTCCTCCTCGTTCTCACCACCAAAACCATCATCATCACCATCACCACCATCATTATCATCATCACCATCACCGTCACCAACATCATCACCATCCCCATCACTATCACCACCACCACTGTCAACATCATCATCACCACCATCATCATCATCATCACCATCACCATCACCGTCACCACCACCATCACCATCACCATCATTATCATTCTCATCGTCATCGTAATCCTCATCCGCATCATCATCATCACAACCACCATCGTCATCATAGTCATTATCATCATCAATATCATCATCAACATCATCATCACCAACCATCATCATCATCGTAATCGTCACCGTTTTTATCACCATCACCACCACCATCCTTATCACCATCATCACCATCATCGTCATCATTATCATCACTACCATTATGATCGTGATCAGCATGAGCATGAGCATGAGTATGGGCATCATCAGCATCACCATAAGCATCACCATCACCATCACCATCGTCATCGTCGTCAACATCATCATCATTATCATCACCATTATCATCACCACCACCATCATCACATGACCATCAACATCATCATCAGCATCACCATCATCACCATCATAATCTAAACATCATGATGGTGATGATCATCATCACCACCACCATCACCATCACCATCATCAGCATCAGCATCACAATCCTCATCCTCATCATCCTCATCAGCATCAACATCATCATCAATATCATCATCATCGCCATCGTCATCATCCGTGGCCGCTTGGGTTCAGTTCTTTTTGCGCGGTGCCAATCGCCGCTGAGCCCTCTCCGCCCCCAGCGCACCCTCGCAGCAGTGCCTCCACGCTGCTCTCAGCCATGATTTTTTGGGGGCCCCAAGACGGCCTGAGGACGTCAGCAAACGCCCCAAAGCACGTCCCAAACCTGGCAACCCAATATGTGGGCATGAAGCTCTCGGGTCCCGAGGGAAGCGGAGGCTACCGCCGATGCATGCTGAGCGAACTGCTTCCCTGCCGAAGGGCCCCAGCGAAGATAGGGATGGGGAGGGCTGCACTCTTGGTAGGTGGATCTCTCAAGCTCTCCGCCGCCTCTGGCGGTGTGCGTTGCGAGCAGGAACACAGCAAAGCACACCGCCAGAGGCGGCGGAGAGCTTGAGAGATCCACCTGCCAGAAGAGGGAAACAGGCGATGACATAAACATGAACTTTTGGAGAGGTCCGCGCGGACTGCTCGGATCGGCGCTGGAGCCCCCCCTCCCGGGCGGCGCCTCCGGCGCCGCCCCGGGGGCGCTCCGTGCGCCGAGGAGGGGGGCCCCAGTGCCGATCCGAGAACTCCGCGCGGGCCTCCGAGAGTTTGCGTTGATGCCATCGTTTGTTCCTGCTCGTCAGCATATGCGTCACGTGTGCGGAGCTACACTGTCGATGCCGCGCTGTGGCTTTTCTGTGTTCCTGCTCGCAACGCACACCGCCAGTGGCGGCGGAGAGCTTGAGAGATCCACCTGCCAAGAGGGATGGCATCAACATCGGCATCATCGTCAGCGCGCAGGCCAGCGCAGCCCTGGCCAGACGGCGCAGGGTCCGCCGCAATCTGGCGTGCCGTCGTCAAAGCAATGCTGCGGCGCCACGGGAGGCCACAGATGCGCCGTGCTCGTCCCCCCTGCGAGGAGGGAAAGAGGAGGAGGAGGAGGAGGAGGAGGAGGAGGAGGAGGAGGAGGAGGAGGAGGAGGAGGAGGAGGAGGAGGAGGAGGAGGAGGAGGAGGAGGAGGAGGAGGACGGGGTGCGGCACAGAGGGGAGGAGGGAGGGGAGGGCATGGGGGCAGGAGGGGACGGGGGAGAAGAGAGGGGAGGGGAGGATGGAGGGAAAGAGGGAGGGAGGGGAAAAGGGGGGTGAGAGGGGGGGAAGAGGGAGGGGAAGAGGGGGAGGGGAGGGGAAGAGGGAGGGGAAAAGGGCGGGATGGCCAGATGCAGCGGCGCGAGGGGAAGAGGGAGGTGGATCCTGGACCCCTGGGGCTTTCCCACGGGACCATGCGCTTCCTCCCGAATAATTCTTCACATTCCTGGGGCCGGAGGAAGGCCCCCCCAGAGCCCGAACGCGGCCGAGAGAAACTCCAAGGCCCGCTGCTAGAGGGCCCGCTTGCTTCATGGCGAGGTTGTGCGTCTGGGCTTCCTCCGGCAGGTGGTACGGCCGAGACTAGGACATACAAACATTCTCCAAGAACGCGAGACTCTCCGCCGGCCAAAACACAGAGAACGTCCAAGGGTACCCTGCCCAGAATGCACAATACCATCCAACAAACACGGAGAACGTTATGGTACCCTCCCCGAGCAGACCTTGATCTTATACCTCGGCCCTAACGGGGGGTGACGTACATGGAGGTTGCAGAGCAAGGCCCTAAAGGGGCCCTTCGCAGCCCTGTTTGGAGCCATCACTGATGGATCCAGACGAGCCAGGGAGCCAGGGACGACCATAACAACCGACGGACAAACGAAAAGAACCGAATTCAGACAGGGAAGGGGCGCCCCAGGGGCCGAGCGACCGAGAGCAAGCCCAGGGGCCACGGGCGACCGAAACAACCGACAGACAACCAAAAACAACCAGAAACCAGACAAGGAAGGGGCACCCCCAGGGGCCGAACGACCGAGAGCAAACCGTGAAGCGTGAAGCGTGAATAACTTCACGCCTCGCTCTGATGTCGCCCAGAGCGTGAAGCATGAAGCGTGAATAACTTCACGCCCCCGCGAATGCCCTTGATCAGGAGCCCCAAAGGCGGCCCTAAAGGGCCCCGTTGGGGCCCTCTGAAACCCTTTGAGGCCCCCTTGAGGCCCCCCCAGCGAGTCACCCCCCATTACCAGTAGGTCGGGCCTGTCCCCCTACAGGCAGTTTTCGGACGAAGAATTAAACATAGTCAAGAAATAACCAAAAAATGATCCACAGCACTAACAAATAGTCCCCGTACTATCTTTTGACAACTTTTGAACATTCCGCCTGTAGAGGGACATGCCCGACTTAACATTACCACTCGCCCGACGTCCTCCCTCCCCAACCCGTCCTGGTGGGCCCGTACTTGTCGTCACCAGGCTTTCTGCCGCTGCCGCGCCCGCTGGCGCGCCGGCGCCGCCCGGACTCCTGCGCCCAGGCCCCCGGCCCGCCGCGCGCGCCCGCACGGGAGTGAAGGAGGGGAGGGAGGGGGGGGGGGAGGTTCGACCCTCCCCCGCTCCTCCACAATTACTCAATATGAATACTACTCTCCCACTTCCCCTGATGACGTCTTGGGAGTAGCCGCCCCCCCCCCCGCGTACTGTTTTTTTACACAAGTTTCCCCGGAATCGGGTTTTCGCCTGCATCTTTTTCCAAAATGCTGCTCTCGCTGAGGCGCCGGCCTCATTTTCGGGCCCCGCTCGTTCCGAATCGTGCTCTCGCTGCAGCGTGGGTATCATTTTCGGATCGGTGTTTTGCCTCCGTCGTTCAGGATGGCGTTCTCGCCCCAGCGCGGGCCTCTTTCTCGTGCGCCCATCCGCCCGCCACCACCGCACCACGCCCCGCCCCGCCCACCGCCACTTCCACCCACCAACGCACGCACGCACGCACGCACGCGCACCGCCACCACCACCGCACTACCCCACCCA